TTGAACCGCCAGCCTTCTGGTTAGCAGTCAAGTGCTTTAGCCACTATGCTACCAGAGCTCCCTGATTTTTTTTTTTTTAATTTTTATATAAGTACATGAAATTTTATGTGTATTTATAGTCTCCACCATAATATAGTGAGTTTGGTTTTGGTTTGGTTTACCATAATATACAAAACTTGCATTTCAAAGGCCAATTAGTCACATTTCCCTTCTTCCCCCTTCTATCCCTAACTGCTGACAACCACTAATCTGTTCTTCATGTTTATAATTTTGTTATTTCAAAATGAAATACAGGATGTAATTTAGGAGGTTGGCTTTTTTCACTGAGCTCCATCCAAAGCTGCATATATGAAGTTTGTTGCTGCATAGTATTCCATGTATGGTTATACCAAAGTTTAACCAATCATCTGTTGAAAGAAATTTGAGTTGTTTCCAGATGGCAGGTTTAAATTCTCTGGGTCCTTATTTAGTATTCCAGAATTTCAGAACAGATGATCTTTTTGTCTACATTTTGTGTACCTTTGAGGTACAATTCATGTTTAGTCAGGAGATCAGTAAGTACATATGTAAACAGCTCTAATGTAAAACAGAATAATGTACAGAAAGGCACAAACAGGTAGGGGCTTTCAGATGGAGGGGAGAGTATATTTAGTTAAGATGAGATCAATGAAGGCTAAGTAGACAGCATTTACAATGACAGTGAATGAATAAGATTTCCTTGACAGTAATTTTTATTATATATACACTCAGCTCAGTATTTGTATTTCATTGCTCATTTAATATGGCTGGTTCACAACTATAAAGCAATTTGAGGAAGACAGGTTATATATACATTTACACTTAAGATGAAAAATTATGATGTATTTCCAAATTTTAGGAAACAAATTTTAATTTGAGGAAGCATATAATTTTTGTCAATTTTAAGATGTACACCAGTGTCTAAGGATAAATAAGATGACATTTCAATTTATTTCAATGCTGTTTTCAAACATTCTCCATGTCTTAATACTCATATGAAAGAATAGCACATAATTATACAAAAGCAAATCAGGCCTTAGTTAAATGTATTTAAAAAGTTTAATTAAAAACATGGATACAATCAGCTATTAATTATTAAGTAGCTTACTCAATTATAACAATTTTAATTGAGAAATTGAACACTGGCATTTTAAAAACATAGAAGCAGATAAACAACATGCCTTTAGAAATATTAAATTTATTCTTTGATTGCAAATTTTATTATTTTTTAAATATAGGTAACATATAGTGAAACCTGTGAGAGCTGCACTCAATGGGACTGCCTTGTTTTTCCTGATCTCAAAGGTTTTCCCCTTTGCCAGTGCAGTCTTATCACTTTTCTATTGCTCTGAGTTTTCCTTTCAACAGGCTTCTTCCTTACACAGGTTCCTCCTTTCACAGGTTTTGCTGTACTTCTTAAACCTCCTCACTCTTTTTACCTTGTGTCTATAAAAATAAAATTGTCCTTAACATTCCTAAATTCTATTTCCCAGATAAAGCCATTTGTAACTAATATGTAAGAAGTTACTGAATCATAGGTTTAAAATCAGTGGCACAAACCATGTGTGGATGAAGATGTAACAAATTCAATGTTAGTACAGTAATGAGCCATACATAAGAGGTAGAATTCTTAATCACAGTTTTATAGAAAAGTTGCAGTAGTTTTATCTGTACCCTGCTTTTTAAATTACGGTACGGTAATAATTATACTATTAAGGTTGCTTCTCATTATGTATCTAACAAAAGGGGGAAAAATATTGGCCCTTGTTTTGCATGTGTTACAGGGGTTATGCCAAAACACCTAAAACATTTTTTTTGGTAAATTAATTGATCATGTGGTATTTGCCTCATTTTTAAAAAGCTTTAGGCTAGGGAAATCTAAGCATCTATTCTCCCAAGGGACTTAAGAAGAGAGACCTCTTACCTATTTTGTCCCACTATAACTCTGGAAGATAAGGCAATCTACTTCCATAAAGACTTAACAGCCTTGGAAGTCCATGGGGGGATCACTGTGAGTCGGAATTGTCCTGATGCCAGTGGGTTTAGTTTGTTTTGGTCGTATCTCTGGATATCATTATTGGTTATCAGGAATTCCAGCAGTACTAACCTACAAATGGGTTCTATGAAGAAATTTATTATAAGTGACTATTTCTAACTATTTTATCATAAAGAATATTACAAATGGGTATAACCTAAAAGTTCTATTTAATTCATGATATAGCTAATTTACTGGTACTTGAGTAAGAATCTAGACTGATAAACTAGGATGGCAAAGATCTTTTATGTATATGTGGGTTACTGGGTGTTTAGAATGTGGGAATCTGAGGTTTTCCAATCATTATTTCTGTATCAAATTGGTCAAATATGATGTTTATGAAAGTTATAAAAATTGTTCACAAATAAGAGTATACTCAGTGCTGAAACTTAGTCAGTGCAGAAAGTTGATATAGGGCTTAAGTTTCAAAACATGTACCTAAATATTTATAATTCAAAACAAAAAGAAATCAGTGAAAAACAAAACCCATAGCTAAACACTGTAAATTCTTTTCCTTTGACTTATATTAAAATTGGATTTCATGATTAGCCAATTAGATTACAAACATTATTTTTTGGTTCTGTTTAAGTTAATTTTATTTTGATCAGGTAAGCCTCTTAAATAAACCTGAATTTGTTTCTAATGATTGCTCAGAAAAGGAGATATTATTTTAGAGCCAGATCCTTTTAGCATTATTTCCTTCCCAACTACTGATAATGTATTATGTTAAGTCAGTAATCATGCCAAAATAAACATAATACTGTTGACAGATATAATAGAAAAATAAGATTGTCATTTTCTCTCTAAAAATTCCGTACTTCATTTTAAGGCTAAAAAGAATATCTGTGTTCTTAGCCTGAGCAATTTTTGACCAATTCTTCAAAGGAAAAATTTGTCCTAATTTTAATAAGTATGACTTTGTATTTTAATAATTATCAAAATGTCAGCTTTTGGGATGTAGGCTAAGTATATAAAACTGTTACTTTTTTGTGATATTTTTACATTGAAATACAACATTTAGTTTTAAAAATCTAAAAAATTAACTGATTTTCAAAGTTATGTTTATATTCTAGGAGTGGTGCATATGAAAATAGAGAAAAGTTGAGCCTTTGTCTTCTAAACATATATTTAAACCATAAGTATAGGATTTCAGATGATTTATAACAACATACTGAAAGTATCTAGAATTAATCTATAATTGCCACATTTACAAAGAAACTTCTAGGTAAGAGAGCCTTTTAAAGACATTGTTTGGTGTCACATGTAGGTCTGATGTTCAGTTATTTAAATATAGGATATTTGCAAAAATTTTTCAGATTTAGGAAGATACAGTTATTAATATAGCTTCATTCAATTATACCTATACTCTCGCATAGTATTTGTATTACATAAGTACAACTGGATCAGTAAGATGACTTGCACAGACAACAATGAAAACTTTCCTTTCACGTTATACTTGTTTTCACACTTAAAATATCTAAAAACATTTTGAAAACACTTAATGGCCTTGATTGTAACAGTTTTTTGCATTTTCCACCTCTTCTTTTAATGTTAAATACTCTAGAGTTTTAAGTTCTGCTTTTTCTTTTATCTTCAAATAGACTCTTTAGCATATAAACTTGAATGGCTGACACCACTACCATGACCACTAAATTAACCATAGACCAGAAATTGACTCTATCAAAGTTGCTTTCTTGTATATTTCGATCGCGGGCTTCAAATGCTCTAAGAAGAGTCTGGATATGACCACTTTTGCTTAGTCTGTTCTTGATGCTGTTGATAGATTCCTGAAGATAAATAAAATAACTTTACTGTAAAATTATGCTCAGTTATTTTAAATTAATTTAAAAATGTGTTTCACAATACCCTGATAACATTAGCTTTAGTCTGTTTGTCAGGTTAGGTTTATATCCAAATAAGATAGAGAGGGTACACAATTCAAGTAATAGACAGGTACTACTCAGAATACTTAAAGGTCCTCTGCAAGGTTATGTAATAGTACTTCTGATGTATTTAAATTGTTGCCTAAAATAATGATTTAATAAAGGAACAAAGCTGCTGTTAATTGGAAATGGGTAATAAAATATATTTAAGTGGCACAGTGTCTGAAGTTTTACATACATTATCTCTTACCGCAAAAAACCTGTTAAGAAAATGGTTAAGTTTTCAAAAATCTGATTGACAACAACTTTTAGGTATTTACCTGTTAATGTAATTCAGGTTTATAATATTTAATTTTAGTCTGGTCCAGTTTCCAAAAGTAAAATTAGAAAATATTTCCATTTTAGATGTGCATTTTATACATCAAAAAGTGTAATCTATTTATAATACAAAAATAATGTTCTAAGATCACATTAATAAGATAAGCTTATAAATTATTTTATAATAGGTTCTTTTTGAGATAAGTGATGTTCAAAACTATAAAAGGAGAGTATATGAATACAGTAAAATTAAGAAGCTGAGATTTAAAATGTATCAAAGTATTGTCTTTTTGCAAAAGTAAGAGATGATTATTATTTTCCTGAATAGTAACTGTGCCTGAAATCCCGACTTAAGCAAAAATATAATGAAAATTTCAGAATGTTGTGCTAAAACTATACAACTATGGAGTGTAGTATTTATCATATGAGCATATTTGTAAATCAGTGGTAGCCCAGTACTGAAAATATTTTCCAGAAAAAATGGAAACGGGACTTAGATCCCCAAATAAATTTACGACGACTCAAGAGTTCTTTTCAATATTATTGTGATAATCAAATATAAAATTATTTATTCAAGTTTGCTTATTTTTAGGGAGTAGATGAAAACTGTTCTTAAAAGAGATTTTCTTTAAAAAAAAAAACTATAAATATTTCAGCCACATTTAATACTCAAATGTCTGGTCATTTTGTTTAGCTGTGTAAATGAAATCAATCTGTTGAGAATAGAGAAATGCAGTGAAGTACCAGTAAGGCTGCTAACTGCTTATATTTTATTTTTGTTGGAAGAATAAATTCAAAATGAATGGATATTATGATTGGGTTTTAAAATATGGGTGGGAATAAAACTGGACTACGAGTGAAACTATAGGTACATCATTTCCATTTTAGGTCTGTTCTTACCTATAAAATAGAGTGGAAAGGGGGAAAGGCTGGAGCTGGACTGGATTGATAGCTAAATTTTCTTCTAGTTCTAATATTCAACTAAGTTTAATATACTTATAAAATCACTGTGAAATAAAAAACTGTAACAATAAAATTAACGTTAACTGACCTTAATCCTTTTAGTCTGTTTTCACAATAATTCCAGTGGGAAAGGTAAGAAAATAACCTTTACTGTGTGCCAAGCATTGTTTTAAGCACTTACATATATTCTATATTGCATTTCATCCTCACAAAAACTCTAAAGGTGGTATCTCCATTTTGTGGGTTAGGAAACCAAGGCTTAGAGAACTCAGTTACTAAGGAATTACACATACGATCATTTAATAGTTCAACTTCTTAAGCTAAGTGATCTTTACTATATGTTGTGCTGTTATTTGATAGTTGCTGTCCTGAGAAATCTAGAATTATCAAAATACCATATTAAAAAAATTTTGCTACTGTAACAAGAGTTAGAAGTTAGAAATTTCAAACTTAAAATAACCAAGTTACTTCGCTTGCAGAAATTTCTATAATACAGGTATATATGCTATTTACAAATATTCCTAAGTAAATCTGAGCATTTTATGACATTTATCTAGCTTTGACAAAAGAGGAATAACCTTTTTTTTCTATCAATGGCAGTACAGTTAGTAGCAAATGGGTTCTTACACATGCCAATCACTTTCATTATGCACATCATGGCATTAACATAAGGCAGTTCACATAAAGAAGCTGTGTGGCTAGCGCAAAAGTTTTTACTCCTGAGTCTAGTGCTAGTTTCTATTAACTGTAGGTCTGCTCACAGGGTAATATGAACAGTGTTCCCAAATCAGTTAATATCAAATTTCATGTTATAAAAACTGTGCTCAGGAAAAATGCCTGTGTATCATTCCAGATTACTCAGTTTTATTTCTATATTATATAATATTTCTATATTACATATTACTAATTTATTTTGAGGAGCTCTGGGAGCATAGTGGCTAAGACACTTGACTGCTAACCAGAAGGCTTGCGGTTCAAACTCACCAGCCACTCCTCGGAAGGAAGATGGGGCAATCTACTTTCGTAGTGATACTGCCTCGGAAACCCAAGGAGGGGTCGCTATGAGTCAGGTCCGACTTGATGGCACATAACAACAACAATAATTTATTTTGAGTTCACATGTAAATATGTGATAATCTATCCTTCACGTGCAAGTATATTCATTACATTCTTGTGCATAAACATTTTAAAAATTTTATAGTTAACAATCTGCACTTAAATTTTAGTTCTGCCTCCTACTGGTTATATGACTAGGAGAATTACTTAATCTCCCTAAGACACAATATCCTCAAGGGAAAAATGGAGATAATCACCACATAGAGTTAAATAAGTATTAAGAGATAAAGTAGATAAGCTTATCACATAATAAGCTCTCAGGATGTAAGTCATTTTTATTATATTTTATTAAAACATTATACTAACCAGGATATCTTCCAGTTTCATATCCAACATATCTGTGCCAGTAATGTATTTCTTCCAATCTTCTTGTTCTTGCTCCTGTTCTCCCATGTTATCCAGAATTAATTCAAAGAAAATCACCTTCTCAGAAATGGTGCTGAATGTATTGTCAAAGCAGAACATGTAGTCACCAACTTCAGTCTCTATCCTGAATAAAAGTACATGTTTTCAGTTACCTGTACTAACATTTGGAGATCAAAGAAAAAACTGTAAATAGAAGGAAAAACATGGTTTGTAATAAATGGGAAGCTTACTGATAGAAGGACTCACTTCCTTAGAATGTAAATAGATAATTCTTGGGAAAGAGGCAACCTGTAATATATATACATTCACATACTTACAACATATATGCTTGGCATTTATTAAGTAAATTATGGTAAGTGATCTAATTTCTGGAAAAGGATAGGAACAAAAACGTACATACATGATAGTTAACAATAAAGTTTAATATTTCTATATTATATATTACAAATTTATTTTGAGGAGCTCTGGGAGCATAGTGGCTAAGACACTTGACTGCCAACCAGAAGGCTGGCGGTTCAAACCCACCAGCCACTCCTCAGAAGGAAGATGGAATATCTATTTTCGTAGTGATACTGCCTCGGAAACCCAAGGAGGGGTCGCTATGAGTCAGGTCCGACTTGATGGCACATAACAACAACAACAATTTATTTTGAGTTCACATGTAAATATGTAATAATCTATCCTTCAATTAAGGATTATAAAATGGGTTCTGTTGTTTTCAAAAGCAGTGATGGATTGTTCTAAGTGCTTTCTCCCAGGCCCTCTACTTCATAATGTATTTTACAATGTTAGGAATGAGGTTTGTGGCCAACAATCAGAGCTCTATCCTCAGTGACATTACTTTCACTGAATAAATGCCATGCACCTCTAAAGTGAATCTATAATCTTGGTCTCATTAGTGTCACATTCAAATTAATTGGTCTGGCCAGAGTTAATTTTACTCCTGAGTCTAGTGCTAATTTCTATTAACTGTACGTCTGCTCACAGGGTAATATGAACAGTGTTCCCAAATTAGTTAATACCAAATTTCATGTTATAAAAACTGTGACATTTTTTTTATGGAGAACATTTTAAAACTGCAAAGTATTCCAGAAGCTAATGACATCTGCTTTCCTCAAGCAACAACAAAACACCACTTTCTAGAGTGAAGACAAAGTAGTTCACATTTTGTAATTTTTCTGGTTACCTAAGACCACTCTGACAGGAAGTATAACCACAAATGGGATGGCCTTAACAAACAGTTTATTCTCTTACAGTTCAGGAGGCTTTAAGTCCAAGTTCAAAGTGCCAGGCTCTAGGGGTTGTAGGAAGGCCCCTCGACTTTGGGCTTCAGCTCTACCACTAGTTACCAGCCCACTGAAGCTAGCTAGAGGCATCTCTTCACTCAGGCAGCTACTGGCTGTTAAGGTTGACAAACCAAAGGATGACAAATAAAATGGCACAGTCCTGATGTTACCAAATCACATGGCAGGCCATTAATTTAAGTGCATTTTAAGTCCCAAGGTTGGCAGAGCATGGCAGGTTGCTGAACGACGACATGGGTACATGCAGGGTCCAAGCATGCCCATATGCTAGAGACCATTCCTAAAGCTGCTGCTTACATACGGGAAGCAGACCACATACCCAAAGGTAGCTACTCAGCTGCTCATAGTAGATTCCACCATGGACTTGATTACCAGTCTCATCATAGGGAATACTACATCCAGCTACCCAGCCATTCAACCAGGCCTAGCCAAGTTGACACAAAAATATAACCACCACAGTAATATACCAATGAGGTAACAATTGTTTTTATTCAATTATTATTTCACAAGAGACCATCAATTACACTTTAAGAAACCAGTTAAAAAACCAACTCAACCACTCTTAGCAAGGCCACAGTGTTTATAAAATCACCCTCTGAGATCTGATTGGGTGAAAGAGCCATCAAACTAAAGCAAACTCACTGCTGTCGAGTCAGGTCTGACTCACAGTGACCCCTCTTTGGGTTTCTGAGGCAGTATCACTACAGAAGTAGATTACCCAGTATTCCTACTGAGGAGCGATTGGTGGATTTGAACCACCAGCCTTCTGGTTAGTAGTCAAACGCCTTAGGCACTATGCCACCAGAGCTCCTGACTATCACAGAGTACTTGTAAATTATAAAGATCCTTTTAGAAAAATGTATTATCCCTAACATGTACATTAAATGAATTGATTTTTTTCCACGGAAAGAAGTCCTTTTTCTTTGTTCCAAAGGTATTTTAATGTAAGTTTTAATACATCCATCAATGTTTCTTGCCTACTTAGATGACTGCTAAACCTTTCTAGCTGTATACTAACTGCTTTCCACCCAACTGTCTTCAGTTTCTTAAGGATGACTTCAGCTGGAATTAGGGACTCTCCTGAAGCAGTGAGGATCTGGAGTTAAAGCTGCTCTGGATTCATACTTCTTATCCTTTGTGGCCCAACATCAGGGACTGTTATAGCCCTCTAATATCTGGAATTTTTTCATCTTTATTAAATACTTCTGTTAACTTGTACTTCCTTTTGTCTTAGAACATTTTGCCTTCCCTTTGGTTGGTATGCAGCATTATGCATTTATGCTGAACATGAGGGAGGACCCAAGTAATAGTTTTAGTGCCAAGCTCTTCAGTGAAACCCAGATCCATTTAGAAACCTGTCAGTTTTGGACCAAGTACTGTGGTAGCATAGTGGCTAAAGCACTTGACTGCTAACCAGAAGGCTGGCGGTCCAAACCCACCAGCCACTCCTCGGAAGGAAGATGGGGCAATCCACTTCCGTAGTGATACTGCCTTGGAAACCCAAGGAGGGGTCGCTATGAGTCGGTTCTGACTCGACGGCACATAACAACAACAACAAAACTATACATCAAAGGATGCTGAGAGCTAAAAGGCCTAACTGGGGCAAATGTCCTTCCATCTAACTTTTCTGGTTGGAATGTTCCCAGTGCTACCTTGTAGTGAGTATGTGTGAGGACAGTGAAGTTCAAGAAACCAGAAAGCAAATGGAAAATGCTGATTTAGGAGAAAGATAGATGTGTGTGTGTGTGTATTTCTCTAAGCCTTTTTCAAAATATACCCTTCATAAGCTAGGCTGAAGGCATTAACAGTATTGTCTTGATACATCAGGCATCATGACTGACTCCAAAGCAATCACTTAGGATTCTGAAACTAGAAAAGACTTCTGTCATCTCTAAGTGATCTGAAAACTCAGAGGGCCAAGCTACTAAAAGGAAAACTATGGGGTGACAGGTGTGGGAGTTGGTATTACAAAAAAAAAAAAAAATCTTGATTAAACATGTATGTTTCTAAAATGTCTTGCCAATGCCATATATTCAGTTCACAGAGAACCTGATCTGTTCTTTTGCTCTCATCTAAGATCATTTTCTTTTCCAGCATGCTCTCTTAGAATCATTACATCTATATTCATTTCAGATTTCAAATCCTACTGTTTTGTTTCTCTCAAATCACTGTTATCCATATTTTTCACTTTTACTTATGATGTACTGCCATGTAATGGCTACCGACATGACTGTCCACATTTTTTCCCCTATAGGTCACAATAGAAAAAAAAAGGACAGTTCAAACTGTGTTTTAGTTTTCGTTGTGAATATTGATGGAAAGTTGGTCCAAACTACCTCTAAGTTTTTTTTATCTTTAATATGGTAAATCAAAGGAGCTCTGGTAGCATAGTGCCTAAGGCA